TAGCTATAGAAACTAGGCAGTGGTGGTACACACCTTTAATCCCAGGACCCAGGGGACAGGCAGATAGATCTCTTTGAGTTCAAGGACACCGTGGCCTACCCAAGATTGATGAGTAACAGAGCACTTGGGATCACACGCCTTTAATCCCAGCACTAGGGAGGTGGAGACAGGAGGATATGGCAGGGCAGAGGAAGGAATAAAAGGAGACAGGAATTCAGAGCTTTTGCCTCTGAGGATTCATGGGAACAGGATGGCCATTTCAGCTGGGTAGAGGTAAAAGCTACTGGCTTGGCTGCTTTGCTTGTCTGATCTTCAGCTTGAACCCCAGTATCAGTCTCTGGGTCTTTTATTTATTGTGCTACACACATGCGCAGATATGTTATCCACCTGTTCTTTCAGTAGAAAGTAGACCTGAGAGCTGCATCTAGCCATGGTATCTATTGTGGCCAATTTTCTTCTTAATTAATATGGTACTGAATGGGCTCAGCATTCTATCATCATTGTCATCACCATCATCATCATTTTGTGTGTGTATGTGTATGATGTATGTGGGTAGGTGCTGGCACATGTGTATTCTGTGTGTATGTATATGATGTGTGTGGGTGCATCCTGGCACATGTGTACTCTGTGTGTATGTGTATGTGTGTGGGTTCCTGCTTGCACTTGTGCTCTCTGTGTGTTTGTGTATGATGTGTGTGGGTGCATGCTGGCACATGTGCCCCCTGTGTGTATATATGATGTGTGTGGGTGACTGCTGGCACATGTGCTCTCTATGTGTTTGTGTATGATGAGTGGCTGCGCATGCTGGCACATGTGCCCCCTGTGTGTATATATGATGTGTGTGGGTGACTGCTGGCACATGTGCTCTCTATGTGTTTGTGTATGATGAGTGGCTGCGCATGCTGGCACATGTGCCCCCTGTGTGTATATATGATGTGTGTGGGTGACTGCTGGCACATGTGCTCTCTATGTGTTTGTGTATGATGAGTGGCTGCGCATGCTGGCACATGTGCCCCCTGTGTGTATATATGATGTGTGTGGGTGGGTGCTGGCACATGTGCACTCTGTATGTGTATGATGTGTGTGGGTGCATGCTGGCACATGTGCACTCTGTGTGTATATATGATGTGTGTGGGTGCATGCTGGCACATGTGCTCTCTGTAGGTTATAGAATGACTTAGGAGAACCGAGAGGGCAGCGCTGGAATCTGGTAGACGCTTAGAGTGAACTCAGTGGGGGTGGTGAGCACCAAGCCCAGGTCCAGAAGACTCTGAGGACGCTGGTTGTTGGCTGCAGAGTCAAGTTGCAGCGTCAGACTTGAGCTCAGGGACTAGGTGGCGTGAAGGGCAGATCTGGGTCCAAGCTGCTGGGATGGTCAGCAGCTCCAGGCGGGGCACAGGTGGACAGGTTATGGCAATTTGAGTAGGCCATGTCAACAGTAGGAACTGGAGCTAACTGAAGCCTCTGGGACAGTGAGTCAGGAGTTCCCTGCCTGTCCATTCCTGAAACATGCACTTGATGGCCAGGTTACATGTTGGGACCATAGCCATCACAGTGCTAGGTGCCCAACTCTTTATGTGATTCAAGCGACTTTCCTATACTCCCAATTGACCCCAATGAATTTACAGAGTAACACCTCACATACTCTCAGGAATTCACCAGTACATGTCATGTGTCCACCTAAGTACAGAATCATTCTCCATCCCCAAGATGGACTCAAAAGCTGCTTGTAAAATGGAGTCTCTCAGGGCAAGTCACCATCTGAAAAACCCACTGTTTTAAGCAATATGAGCAACTTAGGGCAGGGTACCAGTGGGCTCTGTAGGGCAGGGTACCAGGGCAGTGGTTCAGTGTGGTAAATGCTGCTAAAGGCCTGAGAGCTATCACCTGACTCCAGAGGAAACATGTTCCTGAGAAAAACACCAAGATAGTGTTTTGTTCTTGTTTTTTTGTTTGTTTTTGAATTATTTTTCTTATTTTGAGACTCATCCTTAGAGAGTCCATCAGAACACAAATACTTCGGAAGAACCTTTACTTTGCTTCAAAATTCAGAAAAAAAATATTTATTTCATTCTAATGTTAGCAAATTTAATTTGTTTGGTCTGACTTTCTGTTGTTGGACTGCTTCCCCTGCTTGCTGCTCTGAATATACTATAAGATACGTTTTAAACTTTGAGATCTGTAATTGCATCTGCTCAAATTCGTAAGCATTTAAGAATGTTTAAAATTTCAGTAAGTAATGGCAGACTCTATACCCTTGTATTTTTATCATCCGTTGTGTATGTGGGCATACACAGGCAGCACACCCTTGCAGCTTAATACAAAGCAGACGCCTGTAAAGCAATTTGACCAGAATTTGTTTAAAGTGTGTCTGTGCACCAGTTTACTTCCTGATTTGAAGCTGTGGTTTTATCAGACTTTTAGTGGGGGTGGGGTGGGGGTGGAGAGCCAGAGAGTGACACATTGCTTAGCTTTCATGTAAGGGCTGTTTGCAGCAGTGAAGACGCCTCGGAGGATGGAGTACCTTTTCACACTCCTTGTTGCTGCCTATAAATCTGACAGAGAAGTTTGCTGTCTCAGCCTTTCTGTACAGAAACTAACAGTCGGCATTCGTTTGTAGTCACCATCTAGCTCAACCACGGTTGTGTCCCCATCTTTTTGATGGGCTTTCTATATTTCATACAAAATTTATACGTCTGTCCCTACCTGCTCCCCAATCTCCATTTGTTCATTCCTAATCTGGGCTTGGGGGTAGCCTTGGGCCATCTGAAACTCACCATAGCAAAACGAAGTCATCCCCCACCACTTAGGGCCAAAGTTGTTCCTTTTGCGTTCTCCCTCCTCTTAATAAATGGCAGCCATGAGCAGCCACTTATTGTCCAGACCCCAAGTTTATCTGTCACTCCGTTCCCCATCAGCAGTGCTCCAGTGAAGCAGGTGCCAGCGGTGCCGGCCCCTCCCACTTCAGTTACCAGTGTCTGAGGCGTTGTCTGGGTTATGGCAGTGACCACTGACCCATGTACTACACATGCATGCTTACCTTTAAACAGCCCGTTCTGTGCATAGCTGTCAGAGCGATCCTTTGCCAACAGAAAACAGACCCATTTACTCCCAGGCTTGGAGTCTCACCTAAAATAAAATTCAGCATAGCTTTCTTGGGCTACATCAGTATTCTTGCTGTGAGTGCCCAAACGCTCTCACCACAAAGCCTCTGCACTTTCTGTTTGTTTGTTGAGTGACATACACCTTTGTGTATGGAGAATACAGACTGGGGAAAGAAAGCCACATCAAGATTAACGTGTAAAGGAAGCCACCAGTTGGCAAAGAAAGACTGGAAGCACTTCCTCACCTGGGCTTCCTGTAAGGAACAGAGCACGTTTGAAAAAAATCCTGCTGTATAAATGTGGTTGTCTAAATATACTGTGCAGGGTCATTTGCCCCACACCTCACAGCCTTGGGCTTTCCTCTCAGCTCACCAGCTCTCTCCTGTACTCAGGAGGGCATCCCCTTTCTTCACAGACTGTTTCTACTTTTCCTTCTAAGCTTGAGTCCCTGGAGCAGTCCTTTGTTCCGGAACACACGAGCCTGAATCGGTGCCCTCTGAACTCGATAGGCAGCTGCAACACTTTCATGGCCAATGAAGCCCAGGCTCATTCCCATGGTCCCTTCCACTCCCTGTTCGCACGTCACCTTCCTCTAGTTCGTCACCTCTTTTTCTCATGTCCATGTCACAAAAACACAGCTCTCACCTCAAAGGGAATATGAGATATTTTATTCTGGAGTCAAATATGAGCAGCCATGGCCTGGAAACACAGATTTTAAGTTACCCCGAATTCCATGTCCCAATGTTGAAGCTGTTTCATGCAGGTTTGGTAGTAACAGAACAAAGTAATAAATCAAGAAATTTTAAAAACATGTTGGTGGAAACACTGGGCTACAGCCATGGTGGAGAAATCTCAGTCATAAGCCTCAGATGCTGCCATCTGGTAGCATACTTAGCCCTTTGATTGGTGGGGAATAGGGCTTTGCTAGGTTAATCCAGTCCAGAGGTTTTATCTGTTTATTGGCATGTTAGGTCTGACACCACCGGAGGCCAGCAATGCCTCTTCAGGAGGCCAGAGGACCTAAGAGAAATTGTAATTAGACTGGACCACGTCTCTGAAGTTCTAAGAAGTCAGCCAATCTCCATTTGCAAATTCGCTCCAGGAATTCTTCACATCATTCACTCCTTAGCAAGCCCCCACTTCTCTATCTTGGCGATTTCTTCTTTTCCTGTAGAGCTTAAGTTCTGTGAGAGCAGGACCTTGATTTCCCCCCCACTTCTCTTTCTAATGTCTCATGTCAGGGTCTAGACTAGTGACTCAAGCCCAGTGCTCCGTGCGCAGTCTTCGTGGCCTCTGACACATTCCATCACCTCCTGCGCAAACAAGGTTTTAAAGTTCCTTATGTATACTGTGTTTTTCTTTCTTTCTTTCCTTATCTTCCCAAAGGCCACAGGTACACGCCACAGGCCCGGCAAGGGGCTCTGGCTGTCCAGCCTGTGCTGTGGCCCCATGGCGCAGCTTCCTGTCCTCCTTGTGGTCTGTAGGCAGCTTGGATCACAAACTCCCTCAGGACGCACTGGGCTCTGCAGGAATAAAAACAAACACGCTGCTGTATTCCTTAGATAAAGGGGCCTTTGGACCAGGCAGGCAGTCTGAAAAACATCAGTGCCTCAGGAACCTATGTTTTAATGAGTAGCTTATTTGTATTTTGAATTTTGAACATTTCATGGAGTTGTATGGGGTGGGCAGGGGAGGTTAGACCACTACTGTTATAATTCCCACACTCCTTGACGCTGTGTTTCCCCAGTGTTGGAGAGTTTGTATCCGAGAAGTCATTTTAAAGTTACACAGCTTGGAGAAGACCCTTCCAAGCAGTCCCTAAAAATCGCAAGCCCTTGTGAGTGACGTGAGGTTCCTCAAGCGGATGTCTAACAGCAGCCCCTCTTATTTCCACAGGTGATCTGCAACTCGTTCACCATCTGCAATGCGGAGATGCAGGAGGTTGGCGTTGGCCTGTACCCCAGGTATGGCAGACATCCCAAACCAACGAACTCCCATCCAGCTCTCCAGCCTTTTGGAGGTCATTAGAAAGGCTTTTGTAGCAGCTAGCTCAAAGCCAAGCTCAAAACTTAGTAGTAAAATACCGGAGGCTGTAAAAATGTTAAAGTCTTATAACCCACAGTATACATGCTATGGTACTAAGATGAGGTAGAGTTCATACTTAACCACTTGTTCTCAGGCAGACTTTGGGGTAGGCTGAAGCTGGAATTCAGTTCTCCTTACAAATCTCCCCTGAGCTTTGTCCTTAGCGCCCTGTGTTGAAGCACACAGTTAGCCCACCAGACTTGTGGCTCAGGAGCCTTCAGGAGTAGCTAGCACTCTGGCAGCCTCTGTCCCTGAGCTGCTAGATGGCATGTATCCCAGTACTAGAGCCAACCTGACTTTCATTCTATCTTCATGCTTCTAAGGTTCAAATATAGTGTTTCTTCTTAGCAATTGTGTCTGAGACTCAGCCTCTTATACCCACACTGGTTGCAGGTCAGGTCTGTTCATAGCACAGGGTACCAAAGCAGCCACATAGAGGACTTCAGAGCGAGGGCTCTGAGCTCAGGCCACCTGGTTCCAGTTCAGTCACCAGTTAAATTGCACATTCTTGGATAAGCCATTTCATTCTTAGGCAGTGGTCTCGTCACCTGTAAATAATCCTCACAAGGTTGTTGTGGTGGCTGAATTTGGTCACTCTGCTCCAGTACTGAGCAAGTACTTCCTACATGGTACAAGTTCATCCTAATTGCTGTCAGTCCAGGCTGACCTCGTAAAGTCATTCATCTCCCACATGAAACCTTTAGGAAAATAAATTGACTGGGCTCCTTCCCAGAATGCATCAGGACCTACTGAGAGCACGTCTATCTGATTATTTTTCAGTGTGAGCATCTAGCAGAGACATATCCCTCTCCTCCCAGAGCTCAGCGGTGAGACCCTCTGTGGGTCAATGGCATGTTGGGTGACTGTTGTGATTGTTGCTAGCTGGAAGATGATATCTTTATAGGCTACTTTGTCAGTACCACCTTCATCTGGGTTACGTTATCGGGCAATATATAATGTGACCCATCCCCTCAAAGGACTAAAAACTGATTTTATTATCAAACTTCCCTAATTAGCCTGGATTATGAGAAGCATTTGACTTCACATGAAGCAGGATGTGGGGCATGCCTATGAGCGGTCCCAGAGCCCAGTCCCCATTTTCTCTCCATCAAACCTATCGTGGACCCCCCCCCCCGACCTAAAGTGTCTTTTGACTGTTGTTTACATCTAATGTAGCTACTCAACTCTGAGCATTGATTTTTTGTTTTTGTTTTTTGTTTCCTTTAGCATGTCTCTGCTGAATCACAGCTGTGACCCCAACTGCTCAATTGTGTTCAATGGGCCTCACCTCTTACTACGTGCAGTGCGGGAAATCGAGGCAGGAGAGGAGGTAAGGAAACCCACGCCTCCCACTGCCTGCCCTTCCTGCTCATCAGGGCCCTTCTCAGTGTGGCACCCTCCTACAACCAGCTACAACTAGCTCCCCGCTGTCCTGCCACCAAGATGACACTTGAAATAGTCACAAACCAAACTGTAGCTGGATCATGCATAGTATCTGGTCTTGGTTGCTGGGTTTCTGCATGTATTTGAGGGGTGTTCTTCAGTGATAGAGCCTGTATGTTTTATGCATGTGCATGGGAGTCAGCTGTCTGTTGCATCCCAGCACACAGCCATCCTTCCATGGGTAGAGAGGCGACCCAGCTTGTGTATAGCATGCCCAGGGCTTACCCACGAAGCCCTGAAGCACATTTTGAAGATATTCTAAATTCTGTATGAAGAAAGTAGACATGGTTTATTCTTCCAGGTCTTTGCTACTGGGCTTCTGTAACTCCCTCAGCATTTCTGGTTGTTTGCTTCAGCAAAGACAGAGGGTCAAGCAGGACTTGGCAGTGTGGCGTTGTGTAGATGGCCAAGTCTGCTTCTTAGATGACAAACCTCTACAGAAGCCTGCGATCTCTCAAGTGACTACAAATAGGCTTCTGGGCCACACAGTCTGTGTGGAGTTTGTGGGGCTGCTACTTATGCTGAGCTCTGGTTACAGTCATGTTTCCCAGAACTCCATTTCCTCTCCTCCTGCCTTCCAATTTGCTAAAGTGGATATTTACTGCATGGAAAATGGAGGGCTGTAAGCTTTTATGGCATTTATGCAGCACTCCTCCAAATAAAGCCCTAACATAGAGGTACCATATTTTATAGAGATTTGGCCTTGACAAGACTCCCTCCAAACTTATTTTCAACCAAGCACACAGCACCTTTTGCTGAATTTCCAGCCTACAGGACCAATGTGCACTGGGATATCTGCTGATGCTATGGGGAATTTAGATTTATTTCTCTGGGGTCATGTGACTTCAAGGTGGGGTAGAAAGGGAACCTCTTCTGTGTTCAGTACTATTAGTATGCTTGTCACTTTTGTACTGCTTTGACTTGATGTAAGCAACTTAGAAAGACGAACAATTTATTTAATTCCATGTTTTGGAGGGTTCAGTCCATGGCCAGGTGGCCCCATGTTTCTGAGTCTATATGGAGACGGTCCATTGTGGCCGCAGGAACATGTAATGGAGGCTGTTTATCTCATGACCGTGAAGATGAGTGAGATGGTTCACATTATGGTAGACAGAGTAGAGCTGTAACCAAGAGACCAGAGCCCTGTAGTTCCTGGTGACCCCCATCCCCAGCCAGGCCCCGCCTTCCTAGGGTGTGCCTCTTTCCAATAGTCTATTCAAATTTCAAATACATCAATTGATTACACGTGTTTAGTCCAAAGCTCTCCTGGTCTGCTTGTCACTGGAAAGTCCCTCATAGATAAGTAGCAGAGGTATGCTTTCATAATTTCCTAGTCGTATCTCAATACAGTCAGGTTGGCAATTAAGATGAATCATCGTAAGCCATTAAAAGGTACAAGTGACTGTTGATGGTGATGATGTTCTAACCACACAAGGGCTAGAGTATCGCTCGGTTGTAGAGCGCCTAGCACGTACAGTGTCCCAGGTTCAATTCCCATCACTGGAAGAATATCTATAAATACGAAAAAGCTAAGAGAAGGGATTGGGGTTTTCTAAGCTTGGCTACCAAATTTTCTTCTTGGTTGGTTCTTAAGTCATTTGTTTTTGGTGTTTGCTTCACTTTTTCATGCCCCCTGTCTCTGTAGCTACAAGCAAGTGCTTCTTCTTGCTTAGTGGAATGGTCCAGTTCTGTGCTAGGCACCAAGGACTGAGGTGCCTCCCTCTGGGATGCTTATCAAGGACTCTTCTCCACCAGAAGAGCATCCTCCTAGGTGTTTATGCATCTTCTTGTCAGAAGACAAAACTCCCTGCACTCCCATTGTCCCTTCTCTGTGAATGGCATTTCACATGTGTGGTGTCTTGTCTGGCAACATTTCTAGAAGTCTCCGTGTCATGTGCCCTTCAAGGGGGCCTTTCAGACCCCCTCTAATCAGGGAAGCTTTTCCGATTTCCGAGATCGAGGAAGGGCTTTCCCTCTGACTCCCCTCTCAGTGGTTACTAATATGCCTTTGTCACTTATCCTGGCTGCAGGTGACCCTTCTCCCAGGGCTTGCTTCACACCAGAGATACTCTTGAACTGATTCTATTAGTTGAGCTGACTGACACCAGCAGCATTTCTCTCCAGGGCACTGGGTAGAGCATGCAGGGAGTTGGGGAGCCCAGAAGACAGTTTGAAGCCACCGCTGAGAGGACTAATTCCTACTTATTATCAGATGTGAGCTTTAGTGAAGTTGATAAAAAGAGCAAGTTTAAAGTTTGTTGGTTCTGTAGCATCAAGTTTGTATTTTGGCTTTGTTGCTCACTAGGTGCCTTGGTTTTCATGTGGACCAGGTGGGATATCAGTATGAGGGTATAAGCCCAAGGAGGAAAGACTATAGAGTGACTGAAACAGAAGATTCTTAATTGGGGGTAGTGGACGCTGTTGTTGTTGATTGTTTTCTGCTTCTGTAGTATTGAGGATCAAACTCAGGGCCTTGTGTTTCCTGGGAAGCACTGTCTTTAAGCCACAGTAGCTGTGTTTATGTTTATTGAATGAGGCTTCCTAAAGGTAAAACAAGAGGGAGAGAGGCACTATGGCACCATATTTATTTATTTATTTATTTATTTATTTATTAGCTGCCAGACATCTTTAGGTATTCCACTTGGCTCCAGGAAGAAACAAGAAAGCCATTCCACTATTAGCCTGAGGTGGGAACATTTTAACCTGCCCACAAGGAGGGCTGGGAAATAGTAGGAACTTTGACAGTAACAGACCTTACTTTGGAAATACCCTACCTTGTGTTTCTCTCCCCATAAAACCATCCTCTGGGCCACCTTTGGGCTCTTGCCGTTCAAACCAGAGCCATTTACGGCCCTTTGCAATGTAAGGATGTTGGAAGTGATGGACGTTGCTGAGTCTTTGGTTTTGGTTCTGGCAGTTGAACAATCTCACCCTACAGAGAAGCGTTTGTGATTCGGCCCCACGTGCCCCTGCTCACACGTCATAACTTGTGTGCTGGACTGCTGAAGGCTACCCTCAGAAGTGCTAGGCTATGAAGCACTTGGTAATCTGATAGTCTTCCAGCGAATGGATTAGAGCAGACAGTCAGACAGCCTGGGTACCATTATGTGAAGTCCTGGTTAAAAGAACTTGGAGCTGCTGTAACTAACTCTTGGGTTCAGCATCATCTGGGACCTGGGCACCTGGGATGGTTGTGATTTGCGTGAATTGAACACATCACGCTCCCCTAACATCACTTTTTGTCTGTTTGGGGATTAGGCAGTCTGGTTCTTCATTCAGTAATGTTTGTTTGCTAAAGCATGCAACAAATTCACAGAGGGCTTGCTGGGTAGTAGGAGCTGGGTGGCTGTTCCAGAAACTCTGAGGAATACATGTTATCGGAATGGCCTTCTCACGAGGAGGAAGGAGACACAGAAGGTGATAACAGAATATGAGAATTGTGGTGTCGTAAGCATGCACAGGGCTTCATGGACACCCAGAGCAGGGCACTGAGGCAGATAGATGAAAGTGCCACGCTTGGGGACAGTTAAGGAAGGCATCTAGAGAAGTGGCCTCTAGATAAAGACACAGTTAGGTGAGGCAGGGACCAGTGTTCTAGGTAGGGAGACAGAAGCCAGAGGCAGCATGGAGAGTTTGGTGAGTAAAGAGTGACTCATATTAATAGACTGAAGAATTTGTTGCAACCAGGAATGGAGATGTATAGGGACCAATGTCTGTGGCTTTCTTTTTTTTCTCCTCAGAATGCTATGCACCTGAGGATTTCCTAACAGTGTCTGCTATGTGGGAGGCTACTAGTAAATATTTACAGAGGGGAAGACCCAGGCAGTGAGCCATCATGGATGTTTAGGAGAAGGACAGTATGGCAAGATTTTATGTGTAGACAAAGTTAAGAGAATGAGGGTCAGGCTATCCCTCCAGGCAAGAGTTGACAATGAGAGTCTGAATTCAGGAGGAGGCCAGGTGGTGGCTCAGAATAGGGGGCGTGAAGAATACAATATTTAGAAGCTAAAATAAACAGAATTTATTAATTAATAGATTAATTTAAGATTTAGTTAATTTAAAATTAGTAGAATTTGTATGACACCGAGAAGGGACAGATAGGACATTGAGGTTTGACTTTAGAAAGAAGTGAATTTTTTTTGTCTTTTTTTTTTTCAGTTTGGAAGCAGTATTGAAAAAATGTGTAACAGTGACAATATATTGCAGAAATGAAGACAAGATTTGGTTTTATTCTACACTCCGTTGTTGATGGGAAAGATGGTTTCAGGGAAAAAGATTTTCTCTGCCTTGTGATTTGATCAGAGGCACCATAATCAAGTTCCAGAAAACCCCTGTGATATTACTCTAAATCTAGAAATGATTTATGCATTTTTCCATAAGAGTTACCCTTAAATGGGAGAGCAATGGTCAGAGCATTAATATTTCAATGCGATTTTGTTCTATGCCATTAACACATCAGTTGATCAATGGCCAAGTTTTGTATGTATGTGCCCACTAAATGAGCCCTACATGTAGTGAGCAATGACTCCATTTAAACTTGTGAATCTAGGAGCCCTTAATAAAGGCTTTTATCTTTGGGTGATAAAATGATTGAGTTGCTATTTCAATCTGGCTGTGTGCTTCTGTAATTCCTTTCTTTCTTTTCTTTTTTTTTTTTTTCTTTGCCACTGAGCAGCCCCTCAGCTTTGGTACAGGATAGTTTGCAAACTTCAGTGGCATGAACAAGGCACAAATGGAATAATGAGCCCCTATCTGGAGGGAGGGTGGATTTTCAAGCCAATCACGAAGGATGGGGGCAAGGAAAAGGCCCTGAAGTGGCAGCAGGGGAGAGAGAGAATCACAGTGGTGTCACACATTAAAGAGACAGGCTATACACTCAAGACAGGCAGCCTTTGAGGCACAGAACACGTCGACACTAGGAAGTAGACCTATACTCAGTGTAGGGAAAAAAGCCTTATGTGGCTCTATCTGTAGGCAATGAGAAGCCATCTGAAGTCTTCATGTAGAGGAATCATGCGATCTCTCTCTCTCTCTCTCTCTCTCTCTCTCTCTCTCTCTCTCTCTCTCTCCTTCTACCCTCTCGCTGTCCTCTCTCTCTCTGCAGTTCAGAAGGTGAAAAGGTAGAGAAGCCAATGGGAGATCCTTTAGAAAACCATGGCTGAAGTTGGGCTCAGGCACTTGCTACCCAGAAAGACTTCAAGAATCTGTTATTATTATTATTATTATTATTATTATTATATGCTCACTGCCTGGCCTGATCACTCATTTTGTACTCAGACACCATGGAGTCGGTGGCTTCACAGTAGCTTGTAACTACCCAAGAAGTTGTGCCGTTTGCCTGACCTGTGGGCTAGTGAAATCACAGTCTTTGGCCTGGAGTGAGAAACAGGGTTCTAGAATGAATTCTGGAGGAAGCATAGTCACCAGCTCGTTTACCCCCTCACCTGTGTAAGGAGCCAGGAACAGAGAGCCTGAGGATACAGGATGAGTGTGTGCTCCCAATAAGATATTCCAGGATACATGCTTAGAGACTGGCTGCCTGAACTGTGGAGCATGGTGGTCTCTGGGAATCTTGGGGGCTTGCCTGGTACCGTAGCCCTTTCACCTCTGAGGTGGCTCTGTCTTCAGATCAAAATGCAAGAGGAAGATGGAGGAAAAGAAAAAGTGACCATAGCCCTGGCTTGAAGGAGCCCGGTTGCCACCACTGCTCTGCACGGCAGTGGGTGCTGGAGGGACTCCTTCTGGTTGAGGCTCCACCCCCACCCCAGAAGGGCACCGCTGTCCCTGGGGGGAGCATCGGGCTTGAGTCAGGTCAAATGCAAACCTCAGCCCTTCTCTGGTCTTCAGTTTTGCACGCTCTAGCAGGAATGCTACACTCCCAGAAGACATTCAGCAAGAACAGGTCTGTACCCTTGGGTGGGCACTCCTTCTTGTGTGGAAGGCAGCACACCACAGCTTTCTAACATACAAAGACCCTAGAGCGAGGCAGTGAGGCAGCTCAGGCCCTGTCTTCTGTCACCCTGGTTACAGCATGGGGCTGACAGATGTGGCTGGCCAGGCTTCCTCCTCCTCATGGAGTTTTAAGGAGGCCACCTTGGAGTCATTTTCTATCAGAGGCCTTCTGTGCCCTACCTTGACTTCAAACAAGTAAAATCATGTTGGAAGACATGTGATACTTTGTTTTCAGTAGAAGAAAAACCACATGGAGTGTTTGCTCCAGGGAGGTTTGTCAGCTCTTCCAGCAGATAATCCTGCCTCCTCTCCTTTAGTATCCCATTCTTCCCCCACCACCCAGACCCCCATAATTACCCTCTGCGTTTGAAAGCAGATAAATAAGTCATTTATGCATTACAGTAAAGCTGCTGTACATTACAAGAATAAAACAAACCCAGACAAAGGGCACAGGGGCGGAGCACTGGGTGTGGTGGGAACCAAGTTGTTATTTTAAATAGGCAACGGGTTAGGCTCCTTGAGAAAATGGGGTTTGATTGATCCCCAAGAGGACAAGGGAGGCCACCTTGGTGGATCTGGGAGAACTCAGGCCTGAAGTGGGAATATGAAGGGACCACAAAAACGGCCAGACCAGCTAGGGTAGCAAGAGGCAAGGGAGACGGGGAGGGGAACATCCAGAGAGGGTCCATGTATTCAGGGGGCCGTGGGGACAGCCAGTATGGAGCTATTGCTTCTCTGTGGGCCATCATAGACTAATATTCTTACAAAATTAGAAAAACGAAAATTTAAAGACAGTCAAACAGCAACAACCCAAACCCCAATGTTTTATCATTAGAAACACACACACACACACACACACACACACACCAATGTAGTAAAAAAGCTTCTAAATGAGGACTTTGTGTTTCTTTCCTCATTGCAGCATAGACTAGAGAGCCCGCAGGGTTCAGGGTTGCACTGTGAGGCCTTGGCCCTCCTCAGACAATAGGGGGCACTGTTGCAGTATTTCAAACAAAAGAAAGCCTGTCTGACTTCTGTGCAAGCTAGATGGTAGAATGCAAGGAGAGAAGTGGGGAACCACCTTGAGATGGACTGGTCCAGGTCTGGATGTAACATTGGGAATGATTAAAAGTGGTAGGTTCTGGATGTATTTTTATGTAGATCTAACATAATTTCCCGGTGGTTTTGGATGGTAGAGTCAAGGGAGACACTAAGGGTTCAGTCTGGAAAACATGAAATAGGAGCTACTGCCTGCCCTTTCCCAACTAGGGAGGCTGTGCAGGAGCATGTGTGTGTGGTGTTTGGGGGTGTGTGTGTGTGTGTGTGTGTGTGTGTGTGTGTGTGTGTGTGTGTGTGTGTGTGTGTGTAGAGTTCCGTTCTGATGTTGTGAATTTGATTTCTATGGGTTGGGGAGTCAGTCTAGTAGAAATGTCAGTTCACTTTTTTAAAAAGAAAAACTAAGCAACAAGTGACAGAGTATCTCCTCATTTTCAAAATCATCAAATATAGATGGTCCTAAATCCCAGGAAACAGCTGTACAGTCAGCCAGTATTTAAAGCCAGTCTGGCCGCATCATCTGCTGCTCATTTGTTTGCCAGAGTGAATTTGGCTTCTCTGATTATCGCTGGTCATAGAATTTATGGTGAAACCTTAGTGATACCAAACACGGAATGACTCGTGATGTTTTACTATTTAATGGAAGGGGGAGAACCAAAGATAAGCACAAAACTGTGTCGAGATTATAAACCGAGTTCTTTAAACTAAGTATGCAATGTCTGTGTGCTTACGCTGCGACAGCCAGCCAAGAATGGCTTGGGGAAGAGGCTGTGGGTGGTGCCTTCTCCCCTATACCTTGTTGATGTCTTACTCTAAGCATCCGCAGTGATAATAACCATAAAGGAAATGAGCACAGCAGCCACTCGAGCCCTTCCCTCTCCACCCCACAGCTCACCATCTGCTACCTGGACATGCTGATGACCAGCGAGGAACGCCGGAAGCAGCTGAGGGACCAGTACTGCTTTGAGTGCGACTGTATCCGATGCCAAACACACGACAAGGTATGTGGCTGGAAAACAGATTGAAACCTTCCATGGTGTCTGGAAGGTCTTTCGGGGACCTCTGGTGCTGGTCACGCTGCTCCAGATAGCATTAGCAAGTACAACAGAGAGCAAGCTGCACTCTTTATTTTCCGGGATTTTTGTCTCTGGCCAAGATGAGAAGTAAGATCTCTGGGGCTTAGAGTATCGTGGGAATACAGACGTTAAACACGTGGAATTAAACATGTAATTAAAAGGCTACGAAAGGCCAGAGGGCTGTGAGAGTGTACAGTGAGAGGCTGAATTATGCTCTGATTGATAACGGTTATTGCTCAGCAACAAACATACCAAGGAGTATTTTGTCTTTAGTTCTTTTAAATTCATTCCATAAGGCTCTTTTGCAGCCCTTCATCAGATGAGGCTCACTTTTCTCCAAACTCTTACTCTTCAAGGAAGGAAGAAGAGCCCAAATAAATGCCATAAGGATAATAAATGGCTCTCCAATTACTCATGTACGGTCCTCATTTTGAACCTATTTGCTTTAGTTTGCACGCAATCAGGTTATCTGCTATTATCTCACTTCTGTAGGGTGTTTACATTGTTAGATGTCTTTTGTGGTCATGATCTCATTTCATGACAATACTTATAAATAAATGGGGAGGCCAAACTCAGACAGGTTCAGAGCTATGCCTCTGGGATGTTACAAAGAAAAAAGTGACAGTACCAGGTCTCCCATTCAGATCTGTTGGCTCAACCAAGTTATCCTTGCACTATGCTGGGGCCACCTGTGACTTGTCACCAGTGTCAGTGGAGAGGAGAACGCTCTTACTTCTTGAGGAGGGACCTAGAGCCCATTTGAACACTGGAATCAGCAGAATTAATTGGGTTTGCATTAAAAGGGACCTTAAGAACTGGGAGAGCTGGCACATGCCTTTAATCCCAGAATTCATGGTGGCGACTCACACCTTTAATCCTGGAGCCAGGGAGGCAGTGGCAGGTGGATCTCTCTGAGTTCAAGGCCAGCCTGATCTACAAAGTGAGTTCCAAGTCATCCAGGGCTACACAGTGAGACCTAGAAAAGAAAGAAGAAAGAATTAAGTAGGAAAATTTGGATCTGCTGTATATATACCACCTTCTATGGCACATATGCACTCATCCACAAGCAGTAATTAAATAAATACAATTTAACACTATTTCTAAAAGAAGGGAATTCTTGAATGAACAGATGAATGAAGTATTTCATTTAAGATTAGTTTATGTTCCCATTTGTTTTATTGTAACTATAATGGTTATGAAACTGTCTGGCCACAAATAAAGATAAATAAGACTGTTTTTGATAGGTGAGGTCTGTGATTCTGGAGAAGCATCTCACCATAAGTCCACAGGGCATAAATCTGTTTGTTTGTTTTCCTTTCATGGTTTGGGACATTGAACCCAGAGCCTTGTACATGCTACACAAATATTTAGCCACATTTTTAATGTTTATTAATTTGTTCATTTTAATTTTTATTGTGACAAACGAGGTTCTCATAAAGTTACCAAAGCCTGGTCCTCCTGCCTCAGCTTTCCGAGTGGCTGCGATTATAGGCCTGCACCACCAGACCGAGTTCCTGTGACTTTAATGAGAATGGTCCCAATAGGCTCAAATATTTAAATATTTGTTGCCCACTGAGTGGAACTTATTGGAAAGAATTAAGAGGTATTGTCTTGTTGGAGTAGGTGTGGCCTTGTTGAAGGAGCTGTGTCACACTAGGTGGGCTTTGAGGTTTCGAAAGCCCACACTAGGCCCACTGCCTTGCTCTCTGTCTGCAGCCTGCACATCAGATGTGATCTCTCATCTACTGCTCCAGAACCCTGTCTGTCTGTCTGCCTGCCTGTCTGTCTGCCTGCCTATCTGCCTCCCTGCCTGCCTGCCTGCCTATCTGCCTCCCTGCCTGCCTGTCTGCCTGTCTGCCTGTCTGCCTGTCTGCCTGTCTGCCTGTCTGCCTGTCTGCCTGTCTGCCTGCCTCCCTGCCTCCCTGCCTCCCTGCCTGCCTCCCTCCTTGCCTCCCTGCCTGCTAGCCACCCTGCTGTCCACCATACTGTTCATGGCCTAATCCTCTGACACTCCCAATTAAATACTTCCTTTAACAAATTGTCTTGCTCATGGTGTTTCATCACAGCAATGGAACAGTGACTAAGATAGTTCCCAGGGCATTTCTTCTTCTGTAGCATTTATTAGCATGTGTCTTTTGTCCTCGTGTTCCCAAGATGACTGCTGACCCCAGCACCTACTTGGTGTGTTCAAGCTCAAGACAGGAAAAAGAAGGGACTATAAAAGTAAATAAGGCCAAGTAAGAGGCCATGAAGCAAGGTAGCCTCTCATAGGGATGTGGACTTACACTTCGTTGTCAAAAGCTGTGTCCTGTGGCCACCTGTAGCTGTAAAAGAGGCTGGAAGATATATTTCAGCTTTTCACCCTCGAAGAAGAGGAGTGTGAATGTCCTTGGGGGACCAATCCACAATGCCTGCATCCCATTCAGGCCATTTCCATTCTCTTGTTCTGTTGAACTAAACATTTATTGGAGACACTGAGGTTGTTCTGTGTGTGTGTGTCTCTGTGTGTGTGTGTGTGTGTGTGTGTGTGTGTGCGTGTGTGCGCGCGTGTGTGTAGTTGTCATATGTCATTTCACAGTGGGATACATTCTGAGAAATTTATTAGGTGATTTTGCAATTGTGTAAGAACACAATGTACTTACTGTGTGTGGTGGTTCAAAAGAAAATGCCCGCCCCCAAAGGGAATGGCACTATTAGGAGGTGTGGCTTTGTTGGAGTGGGTGTGGCTTTGTTGGAGTGGGTGTGACCTTGTTGGAGGAAGTGTGTCACTCTGGAGGTGGGCTTTGAAGTCTCATATATGCTCAAGCCACACCCAGTGTTTCAGTTCACTTCCCATTGCCTGTAAGATGTAGAACTCTGAGCTACCACTCCAGCACCATGTCTGCCTGGATGCCACCATGTTCCACCATGACGATAATGGACTGAACCTCTGAACTGTAAGTGAGCCACCCCAACTAAATGGTTTCCTTTATAAGAGTTGCTGTGGTCATGGTGTCTTCACAGCAGCAGAAGCCCCAACTAAGACACTGTTAAACACTCCACAGCCACTGAAATACCTGATTTTTATAATATTCCCCAATGTGACTGAAGAACACAATTTAAAATATATCTTGAAGAAGTAAGAAGGATAAGCAGTGAGGTGATCTGAGATGTGTGTCTCTCTAGTGTTGTGTTCATTTTTATCTTCCCGGAACAAAACCAGAGCTGCAAATGTTTCAGGCCATCCTCCCCTAGCTAGTATTGTTTCTTGAAACAAAAGTCTTACACTTTTCACATTTACTAAGTGATGTCATAGGCCCTTTTGAAAAGTCAAAGGGGAGTTGCACAGTGGATAGCATTTCTGGCTGGCACCCAAGTTTGCCCCTTCAGCAGTTTGCACCCCACTCTTCTCAACCCATGTTGTGCTGAGGGTGTGCTGGTGACATGCAGAATGGCCAGCCTCACTTCCCGAATGTCCTGGCTATCAGTGTCAGTGGCTATCCCTCCTAACTGGGCACCTGGTCAGGGGCATCAGGAAGAAGCCATGCTTGTACAGGAGAGAAAGCAGTATTCACTTTAAAAAGCTGTGTTCAAAAGAAGCCAACGTTCTGCCCAAGAATGTCACTCTGGTAACCTGAGTCCACTTGACATGTGAGCAATTACTTAAAAGTCATTAGTAAACCAAAACATTTTTTTCCTGTTGCCTTCCCCTATTTTGCTAAGTTAATTATGAGCAGAACTGCCTCATAGCAGGATGGTGAGGCCAGGCAGTTCTGAATTGTTTTTACCAAGTTTTAACAATCTAAGCAGAATGTGTTTCCTGTTGCTAAAGTTTTCATCATAGGCAAGGTATGTTATCTTCAGAAAGATTTCAAAGATGTAACAGAAGAGAGAAGAATGTGTACCCCTACACACTCATTATGTGTGTGTGTGTGTGTGTGTGTGTGTGTGTGTGTGTGTGTAATGTTTCCTTTGGATGAGTTCTTTGGGACATGAAAAGCCCACCACTTGCTTCTCTGACTTTTAAATTACATTTTTATTTATTTGAGGGGGTGCATATGTGCATATGTGGAGAGAAGGTAACTTGTGGAATTCAGGGGCTCTGGAGTTTGAACTCAGGTCCTCAGCTTAGCCACAACACCTTTACTCACTGACTCTTCTTGCTGGTCTCCTCTTGCTTTTCTAAATAAGCTGTGGGATGGGCTTCTGGAGTGGATGCAGAGATGGCTTGTAAATCAAAGAAAGTGGTTATTGACTTTGTAACCCAGACTCCTGTTTGCCAGGCTGCCATGAAGCTCTGGGTGCTATCTAAGCTGGCACCATGGACCTTGCCTGGAAAGTCATTAGTGTGACCTTTGCAATTATTGTAGAATATGCTATCCCTGGTATCACAGTGTTTGATGCTGAAATGTTGCATCCATGGATGGTACCCAGAGAAGTCTAGGCCTTCCTTCATCAATCAGCAATTAGAAAAATGCCCACAGACTTGCATACCCACTATTGTAATGGAGGCAATTCAGTTGCAATTTCCTCTCCCCAGTGTGTCTAGTTGACACAAAATAACTATGACAAAGTTGTAGGGGAAGCTGTAGCCACGCCTACTTAGGGGCTGGCTACAGGTGTGCCTGACCATGCCTGTGTATCAATTTTTTTTTATAGCAAAACATTTAAAATCCTTTATTCTTTATTTTTGAAATATACAAAAGCCATTCCCTGCCTGTAGTTACCCTACCAGATCTTCCAGTCCTCACCTAGCTGTAACCTAGGTGTACCCACTTATTAGCCTTTCCTCATGGCTTCCTTCACTGTTGTCCCTGGTTGCCTTCATTCTACTAGCAACAATTTTTAGGTTCTGCATGTAAATGAGCTCATGTGACACTCAACTGGCTTATGTTCCTTACAGTGCTGATTTCCAGTCCCACACGTGTTCACAAAAATGACAGAGC